ATCCAAACAATGTTGTTGACCTAATGCTCTTCCAGTTATATTGCCATGTTGCATCTAACCCCAATGGAAACGCAGCATCCAGACGACTTTCTACAAGACCAGACGACTTAACACAAGTGCTAGTATAATCTGGGAGGTTTTGCATAAAAGGTGTTGGGGGGTTGAACCTGCTGAACCTGCGGGGCGGAGCCTTGGAAGATCCTGGATCTGCTGGTGGGAAGGTGGGAGGATGGGAGGGTGGTCCAAATTCGTGCCATCAACTTCAAGCTCAATGCTTGGGCCGTACGTCTGGCATGTTTGGATGTTGCAGAGCACTTCAATGACCTATCACTTACCGTAGCTTTTCTTATTGCCGTTGCCAGCCAGGTTGGGTTCTACCCTCAGAGTGGCAGTTGCATCTTCACATCAACTCATGACTCAATCCTTTATTCTAGTCAGACTGACACTCAGATTCGGTTTCTCTTCCTGTTCAGATTCACAGTCACTCCTTGTCACATTCATATTCAAATTCCGGATTCAGCGTAGGATTCTTGATGGAGCTCATTTCCAAGGAATGGACGCTTGTCTTTTCGCACATCAATATCTTCGAAGTGCACCCGGCGCGTTTGGAAGTTCTGAAGTTTATGATATGAGCGAATGCAGCTGGATTTGTGATTGGCTTACTATATCTGCAGCGGTCTTAGCTGTTTCAATCAGCCATAAGACCTTCACCGTCTATCGCCACTTCTGAGCAATGGTGCGCCATTCCACCACTTCTGAGCGGTATGAGCACAAGTGGAAGACACATGTTGCAGGCGGCTACAAGTGCCTCAGTTCAAATTTTGAGCAGCACGTGTTTCCAGGCCCGATGGCCATGCCAAAACCGCTCAGGCTCCAACATTTGAGATGGGAGGGGGACGAAGTGACGGAAATCTAGACGAGGAACTTTGAGAACAAGGGCCAGCAGATCCAGGGCCTGAAGATCCAGCCGAAGGTTGAAATAAAAAAGATGCCGGTGGAACCGGAGGGGAAGAAGGCCATGAAGGTCATGAAGGCGATGAAGGCCATGAAGGAGACGAACGCAATGAAGGCGAAGAAGACAATGAAGGCCAAGACGGCCAAGAAGTAGATACGGCCAAGACGGTGCGAAAAAGGTGTCAGACAACCATCTGCCGAGCCAACTTGAATGAAATTGAGTATCCATCTAGACCCAATCAATGTCGAACTTATCGTGTTTTGCAAGCATGACAGGTGCTGGTGCAGACAGAAGGCAAGGCAGACAAGTGTCAAAAATGGGTTCTTGATCCATTGGGAATCCGAATTTGACAAATGATACACACATGTCCCACGTGGTTTGAATCTGAAACAATGCGCAAATGTCATGTGACAGTGTGTCCATTGCTTCTGGCAAGGCTTTCAACCAACAAATCGTTGACGTTGGCAGGTCAAATCGTTGTCGAGCACGCGCACTTCGAGGTTGCGCAGGTGGCTCCGGCATGCTTTGAACCAGTCGGAGTTGACAAACCAGTGCAGCGGTTGATTTGGCAAAATTTGGCAACATGTTGACTGAACATTCAGACTCAGAACGATTTCAGACCCGGCCCAAAGTCTGCACAAAGCCAGACTGCACACAACAAGCATAAGCCAGGCCTCCGGCGAAATCGTAAGCCAAATGGCCAGCGCTGACAAGGATGGTGCTTTAACTGCGGTGTGATTATTCATCAGCCAGCAAGGCCGGCGACTTTGAACAATTGACTTTTTTACACCATAATCAAAGAAAGTGGACCGGCCTACGCCAGGTTGAAAAAATCCCTCGCTACTTGTCTTTGTGTTGTCACAGGGCTCAGATGGGCCACGATGTTCAGCAAGTTTATGAATGACCCTGACATCATCACAATAATCATCAATCAAGGGGGCCACTAAGTGGGGGAGTTGAAGATTGTTGAAAAGCATTTACGGGGGTATAAAGCACCTGCATGGCTCCCTCCACAAGTGTCCCGGCTTTTCCAGCGCTTAGACATGCACACCACCAGAAAAAACAATGCCAAGACAATCAAAATCAATCAAACATCAGAACAATTCAGAACATATCAGAACAAACTCCACCACTCCATGTGAAGCCGATACGAACCTCGTGATCAGTATGGTGGATGGTGCCTGGATGAGACTGTCTGACTTGCAATAAGGTACTCCCCAAATCATCACGTGATATCATGTGTCTGTCCCCCAGTTTGTGTTGAGGGACCTTTTCACCACGAAGCCTTCCAAAGTGGGCGCACTATGGGGCACTGATTGCTCCAGGGAAATGCATCCTCACTCCAACACCCCTCAAGTGGAAAACAAAGACCAGAAATGACCAGAACATACCAGAACCATGTTTCCTTTTGCTACTGGGTTCCTTTGCAAGCGGTGGAGATCGGTGGAGTGTGGTGGAGTGAACTGGACTGGAGTGGAGTGAAGTGGAGTGGAGTGGCGTGGAGTGGAGTGGTGCGGAGGCCATGTGCTGCACACAGACACTGTATGATACTGTATGGCTCTCACCCCCCAAGCTCACCCCGACACATGAAAAGAGGACTCCTGAGCTTGGCGCCATAGTCTATCCCTGTTCTCCACCCGAAATGGTGGCCAGAGCCAGCCCCGGGGTCCCCAGGTCGGCAATTCCAATCCCCAACCAAATCCGCCCATGCTACGCGTTAGGGGGGTCCTGACGGATCAGCCGGGTTATTGAAAAATCTCTGACCCGGGGCCAGGCAAGGAATATGACTACTCAAGAACCCTCGTGTCGGTGCTGGGGGGCAAAATTGGCGCCATTAGTGTTCCAGCATCATTTTGGATCCATGCAGTAGCTTTCGCATGGTCCATGCGGAGTGATGCTGGACACGCATGCACATACACATGCTGGACACACATGCACATACACAATGTTTTGGGGACAGTGGTGGAGTGTGGCGGAATGGAGTGGAATGGATTGGAGTGGAGTCCAAGCTCCAAAGTGACGATGATCAAGAGCGAAGATCACGATAGCGGAGTGGGGGTAGAGCATTATTTTATCAGCAAAATATGGCAAACCTGAAGAAACTTTAAACAAATTGGTTTGAGTTGGTGCCAAGGATATTTTCCGCTCCATTTCGAATAAATTAGTAATAAACATGTTACCAACCCTAGAGTGATAAGGACACTTCAGTTGTTCTTGGATGTTGTGTTTTGGGGTGTTGGGCACCTTACCCCCCCTCCCCCCGCCCCAGACCATCTTTAATTCATAATGCAGCATTCAGACTCAACCGTTCAAAATAGTCAGTTACATGAATCATTTATTGCGTTCAAATTTAGATTCAACTGTCCAAAGCATATTCTCCAAGAGAGACTCGCTTATACATACATGATGCCATTCAGACTTGACGGTCCACAAGACTCACTTAAATTTTTAAATGTGTCCTCAAGTTCAGACTCAACTGTTTAAAAGATATTATGAATCATAAGTTAAGAAATCTTCTTCTTCTTCCTCCCCTTCTGCTTTAGCATCCAAATCAAAGGTGAATAGGAAAACTGAGAGCATCTTCATCTTTTTCCTCCCCCTCTTCTTTAGTATCAATATCATTAGCGTCAGAAACAAGAAAACTGAGAGTCAAAAAAAGTGAGAGTCATTTTTGCAAGCCCCCCTGATTAAGTGCAATAGTTAGGAGCGGGTAGAGTAGACTAGAAGAGGGACAACAGAGGGAAAGGCACCGACACACAAGTGTGTCGAGCACCATTTCCCCCTGCTACCCTAATTAGAGGGGGGGGAGGGGTTGGGGTGTTTGGGGTAGAGAACACGTAGGGGTTCATTCTCCGTTGACCCGGCGGTTTGGATATCAGTCGCAAATCCGTGAAGCCCGGCGGCTTTGATTTCGAGAATGCAGTAGTGAAACGAAAGTCAGTTAAGATAATCCAACGCATGCTGGAAACAGTTGAGTCAGTTACACGGTAGTCCGGAGTGAGAACGGCGCCTCCTTGCGGAGGATCACACTGTGCACCGAAGTGGGACGGCAAAGCGGCACACACTTTGACAATGGGTTTGCAGGTAACTCTGTTCCCAGGTCGAAAAGGGCGATGGAACAGAAAGGTGGCTGAGTCCGAAAAACTTGAAGATGTTTAACAAAGGTTTTGCGTGACTGCGGAAGCTAGTTACTGCATTAGCACTTTACTGCAAGAACGGTAAGGTGAAAGGGTCCGAAGAACAGAACTGTTTAACAAACGCACTAGCGCTTGGCTTTACCAAAGCTAAGGAAACCTGTCTTGGGGGGGATATCATGCGAAGAACCACCATGGAAACAAAAAAGGAAAAGTGGAGTCACAGCGTAAACAACAGTTTTTTGCAGGTACGTGGAAATGGCGTCCCATTTCCATATCCTCGGATGCATCGCCAGCTTCGTTGACCAGGCGGCGATGCATCCTGCCTGGTCCCCTGCGATATGAACCGAACCGAAACTCTTTGGAACAGAGTGTGACACACACACACACACTATTTCCACTTGCATCCAAGTGGCAAAGGATGGTGCTGAGTTATCGTGGGGCCAGACTGTGAAACTCACAGCTTGGTTCACCAGGTCTGCATTCACCTCCAACCAGTCCCCCACTTCAAGCTCCTAGCAAGCAATGGGGTCAATCTGTAATTCCAGTCCACGCGCCATGTTGCAAATGCTGGGCCCAAAAAAAGAATGGCAGAGCAATGATTGTGCATCATCAAGCGAGCACTGTTTGTGTATCGGTGTGACAATCACACACCAGTGCATGAGTCGAAACTGGAGGGGAATGAACAAATATGAACAGCCCCTGACCCTGCTGTTGCTGGCTCACATCACGGGCACGCTTGGTGTGAAAGCGGCTCCTTGACCCTCTGACTGCAGCGCACAACCTCGTCATGCACACGGATGCAAATGCGGCCAGTGCGGTTTGCGAAGATGGAGATGATCTTCTGGATGTTCCTTGTAACGACACGTAACGACCGCACTAGCAAATACACTTGCAGTTCTGCATGCAAATTTTGTAAAACTGCTGGGCAACTTCGAGCTTCCGGGTGCATGGCAAATCGGAGGAAAGGATGAAGCCAACTCCATCCGCGCTACACAACTCACCCTCTGTGAATTGCACGGAGTAGTGGACGGTTCCTGCAGAGTGTCATTGTAGACGAGTTGTAAAGCATGCGAAGTCGTTTGCAGGTCTTGATCTCCAAAGCCTGGGTTCGATCATCTAGCCAAGTTGGTCGCGCCTTGAAAGTGAACCTTGTTCTCTGAGACAATGCTGAGTCTGCCTGAATGGCAGAATGACTGAATGTGAGAAACCATTCACACATTGCAACTTACCGCAAGCTACGCTGCAGCTACACAAGTTATCACAAGTTACAGGACAGCGACAGAAAATCGTATAAGTTGTATAAGACACGTCTTTTTGTTGTTCTGCCATGATGAGTTCAGTGAACCGAAGCACCAGTGAGCATAGAACGACACTTTTACAAGCGGGCCATGTGTTTGTAGATGTTTGTAGAACGTCTAAGACTAAGACTAAGAAAAAACAAATCCAAACGGGCGATGTTGCACAGCAAGGTGCCCTTGTTGTACTTCTTGGTAAAGGTTCGTGCATCAGATGAGAGAGCCCCCATGCTGGAGTTTTTCCTGGACCAGCTGCTAGCAGGCAAACACAAATTACACGAAAATAGCTGTCGAAGGCTAGTGGCAGCCTTTCCCATTCCTATCACAACCACCAAGCCACTGCGAAATTCAAGCCTGTCGTGCTGCTAAGCTTCTGGTGAAACCGATGTGCCATGCCCATTGGCGGACTATCTGCATTTGGTTGCGACATGTCTGGCTCTGTGGCTGTCGCAACTATCGACGGCATGGGCTGAACCATACCTTGCCGCTGCGTCCTGGGCTGACAGGATTGTCCCAGCAAAGCCCAGAGTCCCAGAGGGGATGCCCGTTTCCGAAAGTTAAGATCATTTAAGGTTCTGTGTATGGAGGCCTCGTCACACGTCCACAGCAAGGGTCCCTTACTGGCTTCATCTAAGGAAAAAAGTGTTCATCAAAGTGTTGAAAACAATGTTTCTTTTAAACATAGCTGTCCAATCCGGTTCCAAACAGCGTTCATCCTTTACATCCGCCAGGATTATATAGGGCGTTTGCCAAAATGGTCATATGCAGCCCAGGCATGCACAAGTTGTTTGCATTCCAAGGATCGGAGACATAACTACCGGGAGCATGCCCATACCCATTGGCATCCCGTAGGGGACTGCGAAAATCATGCCACTCGGCTGTTGCATGGCATGCTGCATCATAGGCTGCTGCATGGGCAACTGCATCGGCTGCTGCACAGGCTGCATGGGCTGCTGCAGGGGCATCATCACTTGCTGGTGCTGAGGTGCTGCTGTCTGCAGTAGTTGCAGTCCTTGCTGAAGCTGCTCAGGCTGCTGAGGCTGCTGCGGCCTCACTGGTCTCTACGACGACTCATCAACTGCAAGTGCCTATGACTATGAGAATATCCAAATGTTACGTTTAATTTGTTTTAAGCATGGCATCCTTAATTATATATATATAATTCGAAAATCAAGAAAATCCAGATCAAGATTGATTTATATTGCGCCCCAACATCAAGTTTTTGGAGCCATAAGAATAGTCAGGCTCATTCAGGATCGATACTTACTATATACAAAATTCAGTTATAAAAAAAAACGAAAGCAAATGTAATGAACTCCAGAGGTGAGTATTGTTGCGGCTACCCCACCCCTTAGTACGAGTCTCACATTATGAACTGAACCGAAAAAAACGCGTCTTGCCCAACTATTCCAGTAGTGCGTACCGCTACAAATAGCAAAAGCCACACCACAACCTTCAAATTCACCTGCCTCTTGAACGGATGTGCTGCTGATCATTGCTGATCGAACGCAGGACGAACCGAATCCTTGAACAGGTGGAAATATGGAACTTGCCAAGGCTCGAGTTCGGCTGTCCCACTTGAGGCTGCGTCGCAGGCGGCAATGGCTTGGCCTAGCAAATCACCCGCGTGGCGGGAACGTGTGCGTTGCGAAGCCAAAGCGTGCCGTGTTGCATACTTTGTCCGTCTTTGGACTCTTGCCTTAGGGGTCAGGTCATCGTCATCTGTCTGAAAATCCAAGTTGTCGCTGGGAGATTCCGTAGCAGCAGTGCTGAAGGACCATTTGTCCAAGACAGTGGGCTCAAAGCCTGATGCAAGGCGGTGCAAGATAGTTTGTGCAAATGTGTTCTGAGATTGACTTCTAGCCAAGCACACCAGGCTTGAACGAATTTAAAGTGCAATGCATCGAGCCGATGCAATCTACAATGAACTCGAGCGCTTCACATTCAGACGCGTCTTTGCTCCTAGTAGCGATGCCCTTTGCTCCTAGTAGCGTCCCTGCCACTAGTAGTAAGGCCAAGAGCCCCTAGTAGCTTCTTGTTACTACTAGTCCTATTGAGAACGGTTTGTCTGCTCACCTTCATCCATCTTCTTGAGCTTCGTCTTGTCCCACAGGAGGTCAGCGACTGAAGACTCAAAAGTGCCCAGGCCAATCGGATCCCACAACAAGCGATCAGTTGCATTCCTTGGCTTAGCAAATTATAGCTTTCATGGTTGTTGAGACGCTTGGCCTCTTGAATTGTAAAGTCTTAAAATTGTAGTAGTCATTGGCAAACTTTCTGTGCTCTCAAGGATGCTCTTTTCAGAGCTTAATTTTGAGGACTTCTGCCCTGGTCGTTGAGCTTCTCTGAATCCATCTCGGATCTTGCGACTGGTGCTTTAGGAGCCCAAGAAGGAAAATTGTCCTGGCAAGCACAGCCATCTTGCAGTCAGAACATAGTTTTTTCCGCAGTTGTTCATAGGTTTGTGTACAAGCAGCTCTTGTAAGATGATGCTACGCAATTTGCGCATGAAAAACCAACTATATACTGTACTCTTTACTTGCCTTGACTGTGTTCAATTCTCTATGCGTGCTTTGCTTGGCTCGTTGCAGTCTCTCTCTCTCTCTCTCTCCCTCATCTGCAAAGTTCAGCTAGGCTGAAGGCTCGTTGCAGTACGTTCTGTTATTTGTCAACTACAGTAGCACCTTGATCATTCAGGTTCAAATAGTGATTACGTGTGGATGGATGGAGTGTGCATTGGCAACATAGACGGAGGCAAGCCATGTCCTCGTCATCAGTAATGTCAGCCCACAACTGCCGAACAGGTTGCTTGGCCTCAGCTTTGTCGGCTTTGGCGACGGCACCTCAGGGAGCAAAACTCTTGCGAGGTGAGCGCGCCCAGCTCCTAAACCTCGACGGGACCACCCTAGGAAGTCAGCAAAACTACGCAACACCGCCCCCCCGGGGTTTGATAGTTCATCTCAGCTCTGTTCAAGTCACATGCTCTGTCTGTGCCATACAGAATGAAACATGGCTCAGAAATCCTTACTCATGGAATCGAGCCTCGCTTCTTGGCGATCAAAGCGGTTGAGCGAGCGGCCAGGCGTGGGTTAGAGGCAAAGAACTCCTGGTCGCTACTGTGGTCGCTCAGCGGGTCCAATTCCCAGTCATTGGCAGCGCGGAAGAAAGTCTTGCGCTCCATGTTTCCTCAAGTTTGCGTTTGTGACGGGACAGTTCCAAAATACATGTTGCGAACCGCATGATTGTCTCGCATGGTGGCAAGGCAACCACAATCTTTGCATCCAAAGAAGGGGCAAATAGGCTTTATTCAAAAATTATGATATACAATTAAATAGGTTTGTCAGTTTTCCACGGCAAAAATCATGAGGGACAAACCGTAAAGTGATAGGTGGTCGTAGATGACAACATCATTGCATTTAAATGTACATTAATTTAGAGGCCGAAGCCTTTACAGGGACCCACCTAAGTCCATATTGGGCTTTATGGAGGCGCAGGGTCCAAACACTTTAGAGATGTGGATGCCTGCAGAGCTTGAAGTCCTAAGGACCGACGGCCAAAAGCTGTCCACAAACCATATCCCTCTCAATCTCAAGAAGGCCAAACCAGCCAAGCTGGCCAAGCTTGCGCTGCTTTTCAAATGTTTAGCCCGGCTTGCCACCAGCCTACTATAACTCTTCTGGACGTATCCATGGCCGACACTTCTTGTGCCCAAGAAGCCGGCAAGGAAGATCAAGGAAGCACTTTAAGGCAAAAAAGTTGTGCAAACTGAGAGCCGAAAAGTTCCCACAACTCAGTTGTGCAAAGCTTGTCATTTTGACCATTGGAGGACCCAGCAGGCCCAACGCTGAAGATTTACGAGACTTCATGGCCTAACTTGGTTGTCAAAAGGGATGAAATGATAATAGAAACAGTAAGAACGCAAACGAACACCCGACAGCAAAAAAATCAACGCAGTTCTCTGCAACAGAAGCACAGCCCTAACAAAAAGCACCAGGATTCCTACGGCCGTCTGCTTGTGCGACACCAGCTCAACCCTTGCAAACTGCATGGCGCTTGTTCAATGGCTTGAAGATGAGCGTTCATGCTTTCACCGTGTGGCATCTTCAAGTCACACCAGCCAGTGAAGGTGCAAAAATGCCAACGTCAAATGCATCTAAATGCCAACAAGACTTGCTAAATTTGATTGCTGCATCAAGCCCCTAGGCCCTGACACGTTTTCCTTGGTGGTTGCCTCTGCATTGGCCTCTATGGTCCTGAGTGTCAATACTGATGAGGCCAAGAAGCCAGGCCAAGCGACAATCAAGCATCAGTCTTTGAGATGTCTAGATTCTGAATGATGCGAGTGGACAAACATTGCCAACAAGAGCTGTTGAAACTCCAAAGTTTGCATCAACAGATATCACTGGCGCTCGCAAAGCTGATGCCTTGATATATTTTGCCTACAGAAAACTCAAAACATGTTAGGCCCAAGCCCATCGTTTAGGATCGCAATGGCAGCACGGTTTTCCTGCAAAGATCTTCGCGTCATTTCTTCTTTGCGGGCTTCGTGATCGGATCGCCCCAAAAATCGCTTTCGGCACAAACAGCATTTACAGTACTTATTTTAGTTGTCTGACTCTCTTGTTTTCTCTTTTTTTTTTCTCTCTCTCTCTCTCTCTCCCCCTTTCTTCTTTCTTTCTCTCCTGGCTTCTGTCTCTCTGTCTCTCTTTCTCTCTGTCTCTCTCTCTCTCTCTCTCTCTGCTTCTCTCTGCTTCTCTCTGGCTCTCTCTGCTTCTCTCGGTTTCTCTCCGTCTCGCTCTTTCTCTCTGCTTCTCTCTTGTTCTCTGCTTCGTTCTTTCTGTGTTTAATATGTATTTTGCTTTCTCGGTTCTTTTCGATAATGCTGACGATGCCGCCTAGGATGCCTAGCATATCCGGCACTGGCACCCCGGTTGCCAAAAGCCTGCGCTTCACAAGGGTGATCAGCAGAACAATTTACGGCCACAAGGCTATCTCTTGTGGCTGCGCCCTCGCGGGTCACTGCTACTCCCAAAGTGCAAGCAAAAGACTTGCTCGGTGGATCGAGGTTTTGCCACATCGTTGGTTGGCATTCCAAGTGAGCGCCCCTTCTCATCAACTGGTGGGACAGATGCGGCTTGACCTTCATGTCATCAGCTGCCTGAGAAGGCCCAAAGTGGCAAGGTGCTACCTGAAGAGCCGTCAAAGCCTCCTTGCTGCTTTGGCCGCTCAGCTTGATCCAGCACTTGTTGCACTTGATGTGGCTGTGGCCCAAGTGCCATTCATGCCCGCCCGCCAGCCCCTGCGTGTGACCTGACCACCATCTCATCCAAGAGCCCCTTCAAGGTGGCTTCAGGCTTGCCAAGGTTGCCGGCAGATCGCTCACTGGCCTTGCGCTGAATCTCCTCATGAGCAGAGCAGGCCTTGATGAAGTGACTCTTGTCCTCCACGTTTTTGACTGTTCTGCAGTAGGTTTTGTGATGTTCAGGGTCTTCGTGCTTCAGCTGCCTCCATATACCCAGGGCCTAGTGCTGTCCCAGGGCTTTGCGCAAGTCCGCGGACTCCTTCATTTGCTCGATCGTCACGTGGCACCTTTGAAGCCTCTTCCACTCATCAGAGCCCAGGTTGTGCGACAAGTCGGCAATAGAATCCCCTTTGCCTTTCTTGGCCATGGTTTTTGCCTGGCAGCTCTATAGGGAAGGTTCACCTTGATGACCCCCATGAAGGCTTTCAGCAAGATTAAGATCCAACACCCTGTGGCCGCGGCCCTAAGAGTGACACAGGTGCAGGACCCATTGACCAACCATTGAAAACCTTCACAGCAGAAGGAGTCACTGCCTTTTGGCGTGCTGACTTTAGGCGTCTGGATGATGCGCCAGGCCCATAGCTGCAAAGAGCTGCCTGCTTCAATCTCCATCTTCCAATTCGGAGGCAGGTCTGTATCCGATATCCTTGTCAAAGAACCTGCACCTCCAGATCAAGTGAGCTGAAGTCAAGGGCTCATCACACAGCGGACACTGTATGGCCATGCGCCATGTGAATGGGTGCGCAATGAACCCTGCATCCAGGCTTTGAGGGCAGTCTGCTCTCTCTTCGACATAGTTTTCAGTTGTGCAGGGGCCAATCCGAATGACCACAAACTTCATCACAAAAGAGCTGCTTGCGAAGGGTGTCAACCCGCTGCAACCCCATCTCACGCTTCAAAGCTCTGGCCAGCACCGGCCACGCATGCCCCAAATGTAGCACAGCCGGTGGCATCACCCTGATTACTTGGTCTGGTCCATTCATACAGTTCATACATGTTTTGACACTCCATCCTATGTCACGGAAATAGGCTTGCAATGCCGCCATAGGGCCCGCCACGACACCTCTCTCTCTCTCTCTTTCTCTCTTTCTCTCTTTCTTTCCTTCCTTCCTTCCTTCCTTCTTTCTTTCTTTCTGTCTGTCTGTCTGTCTTTCTTTCCTTCGTTCGTTCGTTCGTTCTTTCTTTCTGTCTCTCTCTCTCTCTCTCCCTCCCTCCCTCTCTCTCTCTCTCTCTATTTCTCTCTTTCTGTCGTTCTTTCATTCGTCTTTCTTTCGTTTTTTCGTTCCTTTGGTTTTTTCTTTCTGTCTATCTTTTCTTTTTATATTTCTGTCCTTCTTTATATATCTCTCTCTCCCTCTCTCTCTCTCTCCACCTGTGTCTGCTTTTCAAGCTCGTCAATCCTCTTGCCTCGCACAGACACATCCCCAATTCTTGTCAGACACATCCTCTCCTGTATGCCCTGACTTTTTCAAACCAGCAAGGATCTGATGAATGATTCCAAGACGGACCCGGTTGAGATGAAGCTGAAACATGGCTGAAGAAACAAAAACAATGGTGCCAAACTCAACTAGGCCAGCTACACGCCACGGTACGGATGTGTCTCTTCCTGCCATCATTTCAGACACTTGCATCCTCAAACATATCAACCTCGTCCGTCCATCTCCCTCAATGTTATACAATGCTGCTCTCCTAGCAACGCCGACCCTTGGATGAGTTGAGAATACCAATCAAAGGCACAAACAGCTCAAATCTCTCGGTTGACATGGTCACAAAATGCATCAAGGCACAAGCGCACATGGATGCATCAAAATGTCGAGCAGCACAAGAAGAACAGGATCTGCACCTGTTGAGTGCATAGTCTCTGTACTTCTCGACCAATTGATCAAGCTCTGGGTCCTCTCTGGGACGCTGGGAGTCGTGCAAGTGAAAGTTGGTCGCTGTGGAAGCTCCAAGCTGCATGAGTTGGAGCTTGTCAAAGTGGAAACAAACTCAAGGGGGTGCCGAGCCAATTACCCCAAAGGCAGAATTGGCTTCAAGCTCCCAACTCTCCATAACTCCCCCCTCTCTCTTGCATTTTCTTGTACCAACTTGTTCGTCCTTGGACTCAATCGGCCGCCCATCCCTCAGTGGGATCAGAATTGAGGAAAAATGTGACGCAATGGACCCTTGGGGGATCATGGATGATCATGAGTCATAATTGAAAACCGTCAACGCTATCTTCACACATCATCCAAGAAAGAGTTCCTCTTTGTTTTCTTGGCAACGCCACCGAAAAGTCAAACAGGTTGAGTTGACTTGATGCGCTGCAGGGACATTGTCCATTCTTGTATTCACTGCCACTGCTGCGTGGTAAGCATTGAATGGGCATAGATAGCTATTGTAAGTTTTGATGTCCAAAACGATGCACGGCTCACGAAACATTATGACCAAAAAACACACTATATGAAATAAGTAAGGCGACAACATGCAAAGGCAAAAATGCGCGCATTATGGACGCACACGCAGCCGAACTCGTACAGTAACTGAATTATCTGAATTTGTCTGATAACGACTTGCAGCGTGCCCAACACACAAAAGCCGAGGGAAAACAGAACCGCCGCTTGCAGGACACTCATAGCTCTCACTATTGGCCTCCGCGAGCAGCAAAAACTGTAGCCAATGCGGAAGAATATGTTTTCTAGGCATGTGTGAGCTAAACGCAAACCATCCGCTAATGCATCCGAATACCATCCACAAAATTCAATAAAATACCCTCACCCTTGCATTTCTGCAACTTTGTTTTTCTGCGGGATATCTTTTTGCCGCAGCTTTTCTTTGCCTGCGAGAGCCGCCGTTTGGCGTCACTCTCACCCGCTTGCAGGAGAAGAAGTTTCTGCATCTTAGCTACTTGGCCCGATAGGCCGATAGGGCATATGCAGTCTCGGAAGTTCGGACCCGCTTTGTGGTGCACCCTTCCTCTCCTGTGGAAAGCACTGTCCAGCTCGTCCTACGTTGATCACACCTCACTCGCCAATGTAATTTCGTACTGCAGCGTGCCGCTGCAATGCTCCTTGGTATGCAATGCAAGTCCCTCCGCATTGAGTTAGCTCACATTCATCCAAGCAACGCATTTGCAGGTTCTTTGTGTCGGTCTCTCACGTGTGACCTGAACATGGCACAAGATTGACCTCGCCTTAGGCCTTGAAGCTTGCATTAGTCTGGCCAAGTGCACACACATACACACACACACACCAAAACACAGCTGAAGTTTCTGGAGCTTCTCATCTCTCATTACATGCGTCGCTTTCCGAAAAGGGCATCTGACATCAGTGTGCTTAAACTCTTCAGATCTCTTGGGACTGCTCCTGCCACATGTTCTGCAAAACTGGCTCTACCCGACGTTGGCGAAACCTGCATGTTGCATTGCTGCAATGCGCGGCTCTTGTATCAAGCTGGTCCGCACAGCAAACCAACAAGCCAGTAACCTGCGCTAATAATACCCCATTGAAACATAAACCTGTGATCACTTAGCAGTCCAGAAGAGGAAAACAAAATAGTCATGAATGATGGAAATCCCAAGCCCTAGGAATCAATAAGAACCAGCATGAAGGATGCGAATGGAGAGCCCTAGACTGGTACCATCTTTATCAAAGGACTGGTCCACGAAACCCAGCATTTGTGCCTAGGTGGCGAGTTCCTGCTAAATGTCTACATACAGCCGCACTACTACGTGGCAAAGCAATGGCTTACACTGCGGGACGGTCCGGTGTCTTTCCACTGAGCTCACCGATGCGAGAGGCGCCAAGCCATGACATCCTGGCCAAGCGACCAATTTTGGCGCAGTTTCAATCAGTAAAGCAAGACCTTTTCCCTGGGCCGGCCTCGACAGTCATATTTTGCCGAGAAGTGACTGAAGGCAAGGATTTCTTGGTGCCTGTGGACAAAACCAGCTGCACATCCCACACCCACAAACTCTTAGAATCAAGGGCACCCGCTACTAGGATCAGGAAGCGACTAGTAGCTGCTGGCATTACTACTAGGACATCGCTACTAGGAGCAAGAAGCTACCGCCCGAGGTCGCCTTGGTCCTTGATCCAGCCGAAACTCTTTTGCTCCGGCACTACTGAGCTGCAGGGCCATGGCAACTCACCTCAAAGAGCGATTGAAACAGCCTCACTTTGGTGTCCGCCAAGGTGGACTTGCAAGAATCTAGCCGGCAGTAGGATTATGTAGCATTGGCATCTACATTTATATTTTTCCTCTGTACAGCGAAACAGCCCATGAGTGTCCCAATCAATCAGCCCATGGTGGCCATGTCCATTTAATGTTAGAATCTCAGCTCCCGACAAACAGCCTCGTCATCACCTTCAAATATCTTCTAAACATAAATTGTCAGGGTCCAACGACTCCTTATGACTCCTGTGGCCGGTCATAGCCATGTGACACTAGTCCAACGCAAAAGATGCCTTAAGCCCAGGAAGCTTGACCCTGAGCCTTAAATATACAGTATATGCACGGAAATAGCACTCGCTCATTTGTCCATGGCGAGTTGAAAACAAGTCCAAGATTTCGCACCAGTCCATGCACATGTCATACTTTCACCATGGCGCAACCACATGTAGGCCTGCCAAGGCCCCAAAGATGTGTCCATGGTCGGTGACTGTGAAGTTAATACCGAAAACCTGAGAGGACCAATCCAAGCCATGCTGGGTGAAGCAAAATGACCAACCTTTGCGTTCCCAGTTGAAGAACAAAGGATGTGCTGATTTGGTTGGGAAGACAGATCAAGCACGCCCAAGATGCACTGCTGCCACGACGTTGAGTGGAGTCTCTCCTCTGAAACCTCAGCGGGACAGGGCAATTCCCCCGAGACAATGCATCAGGGGCACCTACTGCTAATCCAGGTCCCCCAACCGACCCGTGTGCGGAAGGGGAACAGGCTCCAGGGGCGGATCTTTTTTCCACCTGTTTCAGTAAGCTGCGGAGCTCAAGAAGCCCGGTGTGCAAACCTTTGATAAGAATACAGAATGCATGTCAGTAACCACCCCAACCGGATTGTCACGTGCAACTTGGAAGCTCGTCAACATCCAACATTGCAAGTCAGGTTGACTTCTCCATAGGTGGACCTCATCTCAGGCCTCTCATGTGGCTCGAGAAGCCAAACTGGCTGTGGCGGCGGCCAGGCAGAGATGCCACGATTCAATCGCTGGCGTCGATGCAGCCACTCCTAGACGTGTCGACCGATCCCCCCAAAAAAGCGGGGAGATAAGACAGCATAAAACAATGAATATGGGCATCTCCTCCAAAGACACAAAGTTTGGCAAGGCCTTCCGGGTGCCTGAAATAAGGTTGCAGGTCTTGGTCCTTTTGGCATGCGTCTCTTGGGCTCAAGCATTCAAGAACCATGGGTTGAACCTTGATCTCTTCCCATCTGGGATCGTCCTGCAAGCCGGACCCACCCGACCCAGGCTGCAACTATGCTGCCCATTGAAACAGACCTTACGTAGGCTTATCGAGTGAGCTTATCGGTCCTTCCCTTTTTTCAGCTCCAGGAAATCAATGATAGCATCCCGCAACTCCATCTGCAGATTGGACGGTCACTCTGAGAATATCCGCTGAAGAAACTTGGTGTGAAACGAGACAAGCAACAATCGCTTATAAATGCGAATTACTCGAGGCAAACTAAAGCGCGTGGCAGGTCGACATATCTGCTACTTTATGTCACGTGCTTTGCACTTTGCCAGGTGAAAACCAGTCAGAATAAGAATATATAAGAATAAATTTGATGCTGAATACAACAGACTAGATTCAATGTTTGGACTCTATTCTGCAATCCTACCCGTCTTGATCTGTTCTATAAGCCGACCAATTTCTGAATGACGAGCTCACAAGGAGAAGAAACAAGTCCAGCATATGATGCGCTTAAAGAAAAAAGAATTGATCAAAAGCGGTTCCATGCTCAGATTGAAGCTACATCGGCCTCAGGGAGAGTAAGCTTATCTGGAGGTAGACTTTCAAAGAATGCCTCCTCGGCTCCGAAATGTAAGTGCACTAAACAAAAACGTGCGGAAGAAGGATGAACAAGGGAGTCTGCAAACAGATTATCTACGTGCAAACGGCTGATCTGAAGTATCGAGTTCAAGTGTCCCGTAGGTCCAGAGTGTCTCCTGACCCACTGGCTCATGATGACCAAGCAATGATCAGCTATGATCTTCTGCAAGCATTCACCGAACGTCTTAAATGATTTTGCGCATTTACAAGCTGCGCTCCATTCCTTCAATCTACGGTGACCTACTCACAAAGGTTTCACGGATACTCAATTGGCTGCTGTCAGTCCTTCATCGTGACACCACCACTTCAGCCAACTCTCGCGGGAGCGCAAATCTGTCCCAAGCAGTCTCTCTTCAAATTCAATGTTCTTCCCCGATTCTTTCCGGAGCCTCCGCATTTGTTGCAGGTTTTTTTTGTTCGAAGAACATTTGATCATCTGTCGTCCATTTGGCTTTGTCACCTCGGCCTCTGGGCTTTTCCTGCCGCGAGGGTGGCGGAAGAGGTGTCCAGCCATTGTCGCGGCTCCTGCATAGAGCCGAGGACAGTTTTGAATAGAGTGAGGGGGGCTGTGGCCGCAGTTTTCCGGTGTTCTCACTTTTCACTATGTGGGGTGTTGAAAAAACCCCGCGTCTTTTGCAATACCTCGAAACCATGTTATCGCTTTATTTTACTCTTATCGTTTTCTCAGGTGAAAGCATCTTTGGTGGAAGATCACAAATCAAAAGATGTCCTTTGGTGGTAGTTTTGGTGGTCTACATGGTCCTACTTCAGGATCCCGTAGCACTGCCTGTACCAAGGCGTACACCGTCTTTGGTGGTAAAGGCATGGCAGCAGCAAAAATCAGATATAGACAGCTAAACAAGACTACCACATCGCACACTTCTGCCCTTCAAAGGGTCTAATGAAAACAGTCAAATGGTTACTTGCCCACCAGGGCTGCTTTTTGCTACATTTCCTTGTCGTTTTCGTTATCGTTTTGTTATCGTTCCGGACACCTCTCCAGGTTGCCATCTTCGTGGTTCATGTAAACAGCTGCAGCATATGGACCAAACAGCCCATTCAGTTCCTAGTAGTAAGGCCAGGAGCCCCTAAGAGCTTCTTGTTCCTGGTAGCGATGTTGCTTTGTAGTAAGGCAAGGAGTCCCTAGTAGCTTTTTGTTGTTGTTCTTAGTAGCAAGGCAAGGAGTCCCTAGTAGCTTCTTGGTCTTGTTCTTAGTAGTAAGGCCAGGAGTCCCTAGTAGCTTCTTGTTCCTAGTAGTAAGGCCAGGAGTCCCTAGTAGTTTCTTGTTCCTAGTATATAGTAGGGCCAGGAGTAGCTTTTTGTTCTGAATGTGCAGGTATAATCATTGTTATCGTGTTCTTTACTCTTATCGTTTTCTGGGGTAGGAATGCATTAGTAGTGTTAAGGTGCATGCCAATACTAAACCGCTGAGCGCGGGGTTATTTCAACAGCCCATGTGCTGTGGACAAAGTCCATGTATGAGCTCGTGCCCGTCTACAGCCTGACAAATGTAGGTACAAGAGAAGCATCTGAAGTCTCTGAAGAATCAATTTTGCAGAAGCACATGTCAGCAAATGATGAAGCGTCTACTCCTCTATATTAACGGACATTTGTTTTGTCACAGGATTCTTACTCCTACTTACAGTGGACTTTATGTATATAATATTGTTGTACAGTAAACCTTCAGCTTTGCACAATGTATTCTTTTTGCAGAAGAAGATGCTTTTAAGTAAAGCCTTCACCTTTGCAAAAGTCTTTTATGCGTGAAGAAAAATATCAGCTCCCTTTAATGCAGCATGTGAGATGGTTTTCATGCTACATTCTTTGGAAATGCACATGCGTCCAACCCATTTGCTTCAAAGAAAAACGCCTGCCTTGAAGGACAAGCACTGTTCAAAAATTCCAATAGAATTGCAAAGGAATTGATGTCTTTCAAGAGCGTAGCTTGGACAAGCCTGTTTCAAGAATGATACGTGCTTCCCTCGAGGAGGATATCTTCTCTCAACGTCTTCAATTCTATACAAATGAAAAGAGTTCTGTGACAAAAAGGCGTAGCGTTCAAATAGAATGCACCCAAATGTAAGAAAAAAATAGTTTAAATAGATTGGGCAAAAAGCAAAGGTCTGATCCACAAAAACGGTTCAAAAAAAGTGTGGACCCTTGGACAGGTCCTGAGCAGAAGTTAGACAAGAGACATAGGGTGATGTGGTTATTTTTCCTCAAGGTTATTTCATTGTGTTTGATCATTGATCAGGTGACAAACGCAAATGAAATGCCTTAATTAACACTAGAAACTCAGGCCCCATGACCCCGACTTCCGCTTGAATGAGGGCTGTTGGGACAAAACGGCTCTTGTTAGATGTGCTGAGCCGACAAGACATTCAGGAAACATTTCACAACAACGAATCCGAGATATGATCTCTCCTTAAGTGCTGCCGCAGCAGTTCACGGGAGAAGCGACGAGAATCAGCCTGACAAAGACAAATGGCGGGGCAAAGAGGAGCACGTGAATTAGTAGGTTTCAATACACATGGATCCCGCGACAAGCATTATAGATTGGAACGAAAAGGGCGCAGAACGTGTAATTTACAACAGTGGCCTTTGCTTGGTGACTTTTTTGAGGGATGAAGCACACTAATTGTGTGAACGCTTGAGGCCTGCTCCTGCCTCTTCTGCCCTGGCAGGGCCAAGTCAATAAGCAGCACGAAACAAAGACAGCATCATGTCTGGCTGTGTTTGGCCTTTTGGCTTCTTCTTCTTCACCAAGGGCAATCCTCGAGGCTCATTGTGCACGTGGAGATTCCGACGACGATGAACTCCCTGATTTGCTCTTACATCATGAATCCATGAATCCAAGCTAGAACGATCTAGTACAGCTACCTATTGGACCCGGGTAGCTCGAAACATTTTGCAAACAAAGAGAGGTTTGAGGGAGCCCAACCTGCACACAAAACCCTGAGTTCATGGCCGAGGGCGACAGACTTCTCCGTAAAGCCAGCAAAATCCTGAAGAGCCTCAATGTATCTCAATGTGATCAAGACTAGCTCAATTGCAGCCCCAACCATACCATCCAAACGCCCATTCGACAAACCGCAAGAGCTTGGTGTCTCCGACTGTGCTCACTTTTGTAGCTGTGTTGGGGCTTCTACACCTGACGTGGGAGGATGTGGGAAGCTTAGAAAAGAAGATATATATATATATATTAGTATATGAATATATGGGCTCGTGGACATTTCGGGGCCCCATGTAAATGCATCTGCTAACAAATCAATCATCTAACATCTGCTCATCTAGCGTCTGCTGCAAAGAAATCATCATTGAAAATAAAACATTGATGATCAAGTACAATATCAGTTATTGTATGGTGCTCTTGATAATACATAAGATGGGAAGGGGGTTCTTGTCAAAGGGTCATTTTAGCTTATATGGATTTATGTTCTCTTTTATATATAATTTATTGTCAATAGAATAATGAAGTGGAATAAATTATACAGTAGATGGATTAACCGTGTGGATCACTCATATAAATAAAACAGAATAAATGGCTTATGTTATTGAAAATGGGATCATATCATGCTGTTTTATCATTAAAGATAGATAATTCCATATCCAATTGTATTTCGATTATTGTAGCTTTATTTATCGCGTCCGCCAATTCTTTAATATGAGAGTTAACCGACAAAAAGCAATTCCATATCTGGGATTTAATATCTTACCAGTGATTTCTTGACACGGGAGTGAAGAACCCTGCCAACATGAAAACATATACTATGTTATTGGTATTTGCCAAGACTAAAATATGCCGGATAATCTAGTTTTTTTTTACTATGTTCTTTGTCCACTATGTATTCATGAAAAGTCCATTGATAAAGCATTTCTATAGTATGGGTGATCTAAGCCATATCATCATAGTAATCCTCATATATTAAAAGTTGTCTTTTCTATAATTTAATGTCTCCATGGCACTGGTCCCGTCAGCTACCTGTTGATGGCGTCCACTGCATTGGGGATGCAGTTTGCAGCAACCTCCAGGGTTTGTCGCGCTTGCTCCTGGCAGTTGACACGTGGCAAACATCCGAAGGAAGATTCTGGGCAACAACTTGCTTGGAAAAGCCACTGGTAGGAGAGGATGCAGGGCGCAAGAACCAGAAATTGAAGACCCACTGGAACGGTCAACATCGGTCAACTACGTGCTAACTACGACTTGGGGAGCCACTTGTGTAGCATATGCTGCAGGAGTGCAAGGCAGGAATTACTTATCGAACCTAGGGAAGGTTCAGTGCCAGCTGCTACCTAGCTCGGAGCTCACAACTTTGAGCACGGTGTGCATATGCTTGCATCAGCTAGCATGACTTTCTCGGCGAATAATGACCGCCTTCTGACCATCTTGAAAGCCCTTGCCCTTTCCATCTTTTGACCGTGGTGGATGGCCGGTCTGCAAACCAGATTGCTCGGGCCTCACAACTTTCCGGATCACGCCCTTCAGGATCGCGCCCAGCCGCTTCAAACATTGCCTACCAACTAGAACAATTTCAAGACTTCATAGGGATTGTGCGATGACTACTCCCAGTGAGTTTGCAACAGTAGTAGTAAAATGGCGCATTTCGTTCTTGAATACTACTGCCCTTTTGTTGTTACCCTCAAAATCACCACCAACACTCGCGAGATTGTTGTTGGGCAACAGCCTGGTCACACATGGGCCCCTTCCCTCAAGCCGTTCAATCATCAACAAAACATTATAATAGGCGTGTGAAAGAGACCAATGACCAAAAGTATTGATCAAATATTGCCGAATTTATTCTGAGGGCCACAAGGTACGAAACAGAACATGGTAGTGAAATTGATGTAAAAAGATCCCAAGGAAAAGGCTGAGACCATCTTGGAAGCATACTAAAGTTACAAAAAGTACTGAAGGAAAGTGCGTCCTGTCAGCCTTTCCGATGTTTGATGATGTTTGACGTTTTCGTTTTGGGCTGATTTGTTCAGGACACCATGCCTCACCCGGCATACACAAGTGATAGTGAGTATATAAAATGAAACATAATGCAGCAAAACAGGACCACATCTCGTTGGGTTCAACCCTGCCTCCAAATCGTGAATGCTATCCACCACCTGAGCCACCTCCTGTAGCGTCAACTTAGCTGCAGCTACACATTCCTTCGAGCATCTCCGCATTTGGCATGCTCTGGCTGGGGCTATCGGCTCGGAAATGCTTATACACCTGTTCAAACATGTTCAATTGCATGGAACTACAGCAGACGGCCGTTCGATCCATCTTTGGCAGGTGACCTTTGCTAACTCTGCGCCCTGACTGCATTTCTTTGTCAGTCTATTCCCAGAATACGACTGACGGCAGTTCTGAATCAATCAACGCGTTGAGTGCAGCATGTTCAATCTCAAGCTGTGCATGGCCGCTCCTCTATGGTGTTGGCCATGCTTTCAAGGTCCACCTGTTGCAACAGCTCCTTCACATCTTCCAGGCTTCTTTGGAACTGCTGCCTGCCAGCGCGGGCGTGTCAACTTACCTGGCTGTTACAGCTACAGTCACGTCATGTTTCCACCCACATAAGGGGGGACAAAGGTCCACAGGTCGCATACAGGGAGTTTGCCTCATCTTGTCAGCTTCACTCTCCTCCTGCATGGCTCAAACTGAACAAGTGAAAAGCCAATATACCAACAGAACCCCCTGCAGTGAACCTGCTGCATCTTCCGGCTGAACCAGACCCGCACCTCAAAACCTACACTATGCTTGCTGAGCACAATTGGAAATTATGTTCTAGGTAGTCTAGGCATGCTTGTGCTCTGGTAAGTGCACTAGCATTGTAGTGTTGGTTTTCGCCTCTTGTCAACCACGTTTAACAAATGCAAACGTTCCCCGCATTATTATCATGATTTGACAGTGAAATGGCTGACACAAACAGCCCACTAATTACCTAAAGCATCCGAGAAACAAAATTGTTTTCCCTATGGTGAGAACAGCATCTCGTGGAACAACTCAAGCCAAATAAGCAGCTTCCAACTACATCCAAATCAATCTCCAGTTGTTTCATCCGAATCTGGTCTGAACATGTTTCAATGTTTCAACAAACGACATGGATTGGACCCATGGAGCCTGGCCTAGAACCTTGGGCCTGCATGTGTCACGGATAGTGTGATAGGGTTCGTGGGCTCCTGATGCTCCTGACTTTCCACACTTACATCTTCAACTTCCACATCCTGCCGAAAAAAACAATCCGAACAATCGACCCAATTGGTTTGGTCTACTCATGTTTACTGCGAGACTCTTTGTCTTGTCAGCAACATGTCCACTGCTGGCACAAGCAAGGTGAGTCTAAGGTGAGCTTGAAGTGCAACGCACACGTCTGCCTGTGAAAGTAGGCTCCGTCGGCCTCTCATGCTGAAAGTCAACCCGGCAAGTTACGGACAAGGAAGTTGAACAATGATTGCTGAAACAAGTTCACTTCGCCAATGGTGCAAGATTGTGAGACATTTTTGATGCAAAGACTCGACACGCGCACAAAAGGAGACATATCTGCTTGTTCAACTGGTGCCGTTGCTCTGCTGAGTTTGTTTCTTTGTTTCCCTCCGGGCGACACCCGTCAAGGGTATTGAAAGGACAAACATCTGCTTCCGCGGGCTGGCTTTCTGTCTTTCATTGCAGCTATATCGGATGTTTTCGGGTCTTTTCCGCCAGGATATCCTGCTTGTATTGCATTGTTCATTTGAGTCTTCGCCAACATCAGACACTGCCAGCTGACGTCAGTGGAGTTGACATGAATCAAAGTGCAGCGGTTGCCACAAGCTACTGACAATCAAGAAAGAGTATTGGTATAGGGTTGGCCCCTGTCAGTTTTGCAAGGTGTTGATCAATTCAGAAATACTAACCCGGCTCATGACTAAAGTACATGTACAATATATATATATACATATACACGCCCTTTCTCTAATGCATATATATATACATATACATCTACATTCTAATGTAGACTCTAGACGCCCAATCCAGACTATTGCGACAGTTCAAGGCTGACAAGGCAATTGCATATGTCACAATGGATCGCATGATATCGCGTGATGTTTACATGATTCTCAGCTGCTATTAAATGCTCTGACAGTGCCTCTATCACACTTGACCCTGCCTGTCCCTGTCAGGTCAATGCCCGTGAGACCAGAAACAACTTCACCTGTCAATGATGCTCGCCTCAGGTGGCTGATGCACTGGCAAGTAGCAACAGCAACTCAACGATTGTGATAATGCATATTAACACGAGTAGGACATAGAAGCATGCTATACATACACAATTTGCACAATTATACATCATAATCATATGCACTAATTAAGCTGTGTTATCCCCTTGCACTCAAACATTGGAGCGTTGGACTGTGAGACTCACCAACGATGGCCTGATTGATGTCTTCACCGAAAGGGCAGCTTTCTGGAAAAGTGCCTGGACTGCAAAGCACTATGTTACGTCACCGCTGGACGCAAGGTAGCAGGTACAGCCAAATGGAAAACCGTAAATTAATCCGAAAATGCGCATCCTCTAAGTCTACATTTGAGTGTTCAACCCCGCAGGTGGTGAGTGTCCAAAGCACACGAGAAACCACACAAATATTGAAGCAACTTGAGATCAGAATGAAAGCGCCGTACGTACACTGCTGCATTCGGGAAGGAAACTTCGCCCGGCATTCCCTCCTCCACTTTTCAGGTGGCCGAACTATTGGAGCTCGCTGTGACGTGAGCGCACCGTGGCGCGTGCTAACTCAGATTCTTCCGTGTCTTGTGCAAGCTACACCGCGGCGCCGCAATGTTTTTCGTGCCTGCTGCAAACGCATGAAAACTCTTCTGAATGCGCCTTGGATGACTCTTCTTTCTCGGTCTCACTCTTCAAGTGGCCTAATTGCAGTTTTCAGGCACGTTCAAATGTTTGTGTCATCTCGCGCACACCAAAAGGCTGCCTCTCATGCCAAGGTTGCGTGTGATCCCTAAGTAAGAATTGTTCCATGGTTTCGAGAGGATGCACTGCACTGGCACGTTCTCTGTCATCCCTCGCCTAGAAGCGATCGGGCCTGGCTTTGCAGCAGCATGCTCGTGAATTGGTAGGTGTGTGACATGCACCATGCATCTATGTCGGACCAGTGTTTGCAAACATTCTGAACTCGCCTCGCTGTAGACTTTACGGCCTGACCGAGTTGCTGCATGTCACCACGGAGCCGCAGCCACGGCTTGGCCGTCTGTTCTATAACTTTATGAGCTTCGTGCGATCAAGTTTAGTTTGTGCTCAATAACTGCCCTCTGGCTCGTCTTGAATTCAATTTCTCCTGCAAGACTGCAGGACTGGCCAAAAGCGGCCCAAGTCAGGTCTTGATTCATTGATAGGTTCCCGTGAAACTATCGATGAAACCCAGTGGAGAGAAAATAGAGAAAAAGCATGGTTGGGCCCCCCTTTTGCAGCAGACTGAGATCAGGGCGCACTGCGGGTTTTGTGACCTAAGCCAAACCACTTGTCCCTGCTGCAGCGGAGTCAGTTAAACTTTTAAAAGTATAAGAGACTGAGAGATGCATGCAGCAAGTGTTTCAACTTGTAGTGAGAAGCGTGTGACAATAGACAAAGCGGTCGTATACAGTACATATGTTACATAGTTACATATGTATGTCTGTACGTATGTAACATGCACGATACAGTTTAAAGGAACACGCATAGTGAAATCAAATTACAACCCCCAGAAGAACTGCCACTGAGCAATGGCACGGTAAGGTGACATGAAACGTGCATGTTGTTTAAAGACGTGCAAGTCAGCCAGCGTTTAATATCAATTGGAGGTCAGCCATGAACATCTTTGATTTCAAGACGGAATGGACTGCCTACAAGCAGCTCGTTGCTGGTTGCTATGGGGCTCAATTTTTGCACAGCAAGCCGTTTGACCAAGTCATGCAAGACCTTGCACACTTGCTTTCTCAAAGGTTGGAGGATGTTTCGGGCTCCTTCGCAAGCTTTGCGAATAGACTTAGGTCCATGGATGTCAGAACAAGGTCGAAAAAGCACCGACGTTTGCCAAGTTGCAAAATCCGTCAAGTTCGTTAAGTCCAGCTTGCTACCTGCCAGGCGCAACTCAATAACCCCATCCGCCTCAAGACAAGGGCCCTGGAGGCTGAGAAGAGCTATGTATATACAGAAGCGGCGTCGCGCAAAGTCTTTGATAAATAAGAAATCAAACATCCTCTCGCAGTTTGACCCGCAACAAGAACACTTACATCCAAATGGTTTTTGCAGGATTGGCAGCAAGTTGCAGCGATCACTCACCCCAAACACTGGTTCTACCAAGGCATTGGTAGGTCTGAAGCTGACCAACGACAAAACGAAACTCCAGCTATACACTTGGGACCGTTATGTAAATCCACCCTACAACCAAAAAGCAATCGCGGCACCTGAAGCTTCCTGTCTTTCAAACATGATACGAGTGGTACCGCTTGCCCCATCTGATCCACGTGGGTTTTGTATAGCTTGACTTTCTGTATTGGGGCGCTCAAATTCAAAGTTCCATGACACTGTCATAAGTCATAAGCAAGGTGGCACTGCGACGCCAGCCTTTGCGCTGGAAATCTTCCGAAGCTGCACCTGAATAGCGCCGTTCTGATTCCTACAGATTATATATAAATACCATATCGTGTTCATCGCTTTTGCTATGTCATGCCGGACATACCATACTATATCCTGCTTTTGCGCCTGGCCTTTGAGGCGCGGCTTCTTGATGCGCAACGACATGGTATCATCCCATGGTTCGGCGCGGGTGCATCCGAGTGCAGGAAGCTCCGACAAGCACGTAAGCAAAGCCTGGAGATACTTGTGCTATGCAAGCGGCAACCAATTTACAGTTGTATATTACCGCATGTTCAACAAGAGCTCTCGCAAACAAAGTCAAGGGTTATGTTGGGCAGTGGCAGCCATACATGACCAACCATCACATATGTTGTTGTGAAAAAAACGGAAAAAAAAAAGAAGCAAAACAAAAGCAAATGAACATGCAAAAGCAGCGCAATTTGCTTTGTTTTTGCATTTGTTTTGCTTTTTTTTTTCTCTTTTTTCCTGGCACCACTTCTGCACTTATGAGAGCTTTTACCCGTCAGCAATATTTGCTGTACCCTCCTAGGAAAAAGCGGAAAAAAAGCGAAACAAATGCGAAAATAAAGCAAACAAATAAAAGTGAAAAAAAAGCGACAACTACGCACAGCTACATGTTTTTGCCTTTTTGTTTGCTTTACCTTTTGCTTTTTGTTGCTTTGTGTTTGCTTTATACAATTATTTTGGCTCCTTGTATCTATGGCTGGCGTGCCCGACACAAGTCAAGGGACTGCAAACTCAAGTGTGGCAACTGTTGGACTCGATCGGCGATTGGTGCCATTCGGCATCCCTCCTAGCACCTTCTATTCTCCGCAGGTTCATTATCTTTCCGTGATGCGACTCACTGGTACAGTAACACTTAGTACTGCCGCCCTCTTTGAGGGAGCACTGGGCCAGTGTTGCGGCATGGGACTGTGGCATTATATACAGTAACTGAATGCATCGCACAGAAAGTCAAAGAGGGTCGTGATGTCGTGGCTTTCTTATTTCTGAATTGTCAAGAGATGACCCAGCAAGCTAGGGCCTGAGTGCAAATTCGCCTTGAGGACGACTGAGGACTCATTACCTGAACTACCGCTCCCAAGTCGAAAAAGCTCATCAGCATAAAGCAAGCCAAGGACAAGGTTCAACCAGCAATGTGCACTAGCACCAACAATTCGATGAACCAGCAGTGGGCACTGGCATGCTCAGAGACTGGCATGAGAATGGCGAACTCTTTCAACCGAGAAACGCCGGTGACAGCCCATTTCATTCTCCAAGGCCCACCATCTCAAAACAATCGAACTTATTCTTGATATCCAGACCACCCATGTGTGCACGACAAAAATATGCAAGAATTTGTCGGCTAAAAAAGCTTATCCTGAGGGGCGGACCTGCCCACAACCAAATTTGAACCTTACATAATTACTGGCAAGCGTGGGCAGGAGCCATAAAAGAAACTGGTGAGGTTTGCTTTTTTGGTCAGGCATTGCCAATTGAACGGTTCCAGATCCGCATCCCTTTCATGTCTGACTAGGGAGGTAGGGGAGTTCCGGTTCCATTTCCGTTCCGGAACCCTGCAATGGCTCCAGTGGGGTATCTTATGGACATTTGACAAGCCATTGCGCAACACTAAAGAACTTCAGGAGCAAGGACGCTACGAACGGAGCAAAGGGCATCGCTACTAGGAGCAAGAAGCTACTAGGGGCTCCTGGC